TTTGCATTACATCAAGTATTAAAAATATAGTAACTATGGTCTACAAATTGGAGGAGAGAATTATCAATGATAAGGTTCTGAGTTCGAAATACGGTTATCTTCCTTTTTTCGGAATGAACATTTCCTCGCTCCTCACCGAATTTTATGGAATAAAAATACATTTAAAATTTTAAAAAACAGAGAGATTTAAACGGAGATAACCATGGATTCGAAATCAGAGCATTAACATTGATAACTATCTGCTCCAATTTGCATACCCTAGTTACTATATTCTTAATACTTGATATAATGCAAAAGCATTACGATTATAAAATCGGTGAATAATTATTTATAACTATTTATTCTGGGACCCATGCATGCAATTACAAGTAAGCTATATTTTAAGTTTTGAAATTATACGTATTTTTGGTATATGTTTTTTGTTTTTAAGTGTTTCTAAATCTTTGCTTGTCTTTCAATCATTACGCCTCACCTGCTATCCTCTAACCCCGCACCTATGAGGCGCGTCGCAATTATGAGCCACTGGATTAGGGAGCCACTGGATTAGGGAGCCACTGGATTTGGGTATCCGAGGCGGATACATCACAGCCAAATATACGCTATATGGTGCTAGGTTTTGATAAAAGATGTGCATAACCACGCGGTTGGGGCATCCATGACGAGTAACCCATTCCGCTCTGATTGCTGTTCTCTTTCATTTCTGTTGTATATTCCTTTCCTCCCGGGCCTTAACAAAAGACCTAAGGTCAAAAATGGCATCATCACTCTCCAACTTAACATTTTTGCAAAAAAATAAAACGACCTAAGATCAAAAACATTTTACATAGATAAAGCCCTTCGTAAAGTGTGAGCTGTACTTGTGAGAACATTTTTTTATTTATTTCTTTAAGGCATAGGATATTAATATTCTCAGCATCTTTCTGTAGAACCACAGCTTTGTTGCCTGAAGTTTCCTCTTCATCTGTCAGAAAAATGTCCAACATTTACTGCTATACAGGAGGGTTGTTGAAAGCTCCCGTTTCTTAATACTTTGCCCAGCTTTTGGAAATTATTAAACAAAAATGTCCCAAATTCTTGAGGCCCTCTATATCAAAATCAACTAACCAATACTAAAAATATTTATAACGACTATGGCAACACTATATTTAAGTGCATATAAAAGTATATACTAAATATTTCGCATCTGTACCAATCCCCAGTTAATTTCATTGTATTGAAATGTTTTTTTGCAAAAAAAATAAATAAATAAATAAATAAATTCCATAATTACAACGGATAAATTTAAAAATACTAAAATCACTATAACAGAGTGATAAATCATTATCCCAACGGAATGCAGATTTTATCGCAGTTAAAATATGTTGTACTTGTCATTTACCTCTGAAGCGCATTTTAGTCGAAAGTGCTTCGGTTAAAAAATACGGCACCTCCATGATGAATTTCATCTTAACATCAAGAAACTGAATAGAAAACTGGAAAGGATCAGTATGAAAAAAAAATAGACATAATATGCCTATATCATTCAATGAAACATGTCTGAATGAAGATATGCTGCCTATTTGGGTTTCGGTCCCGACTTGAAGCAATCGGATGTCTAGCCACCCTGATGAGATGTGATACAGTGAAACAGTCTGCCTGTGGATGACTATTTATGCACTCGAAATAATTCGATTGAGCTCTCGAATAGGAAGGGGTCATTTTATAAAGAGTGGCTGCTACTACTAATGCAATGCTCTTCTACTCGAATCGAGCTCTCCTAGCCACTGACGTCTTTCGCATAGTAAAAACGTTAAAATTTCCCTCCCGCTCTACTGTGCGACGATAGCTTAGGGCTAGAATCTCTGTCAGATGTCAAATCGGTTGGGTTTCGGCTTGAAGCAATCGGATGTCTAACCAGACTGATGGAGTATGGTCAGACATCCGATTGCTTCAAGCCGGGATCAAAACCCGACTGATTCGGCAACAGTCGGAGATTTTCCCCCTAAGCCATCGGCTCACGTTCGAAAGAATGGCGAATGTTTACGTACTTACTCTGTGAATAAACACACCAATGACTGAGAGAGCTCAATTCAGGGAAGGAGAAGAGCCTTGTAATATTAGTAGTAATAGTCATTGTTTAAAAATTCGCACTTATCTTCCAAGAGTGCACGACCAAATTTAAGTTTTTCGGGTGCGTATATATTGTTATTCACAGAGAGACTGTTTCTCTGTATCACAGTTCATCAGTGTGGCTAGACATCCGATTGCTTTAAGCCGGGCTCTGGTCATGGATGCGGTAATTTGATTTATGGTGTCCACTTATCCTCAACGTTCCAAACGCATTTTTCCTGACATACAGTTTGCCTTCCTCTCATTCTAACCAGAAGAAGCGAGAGAGAAAGAGAGAGAACAGATACTGTCAGCGAAACGCGTAGTTTATAGATTTTCAAATCCGGGGTGTATCAGAAACACGTTTATAAATTTGGGGATAGATTCCTCAGAAAAGTCCATATAAATTTATATCTTCGTTTTCAAGTTTAAATTAAGTTTACGGTAGATTGCGCTGTGTTGCCTTGTAGATTAGCTTACATTTGTCATTCGTGTACATTTGTAACTCGTCTGTCTGTAACGTTTAACATGTGTAGTAGTGGCTGAACTCAGAAGTGCTCCGTGTAACGATAAGAGGATATTAATCCCGTGCACAGGCAGATGTACCCCCGATAATACGATAAGACGCATGTGGTTCATGTACGATGAGGCTCCAGCATATTTTAGCCACATTGCCCGCGATGCTCTGGAAGACCATTACCATGAAAAATGGATAGGTAGGGGAGAACCAGTTCCATAGCCTGCACGTTCCCCTGCCCGCAATCCTTTGGATTTTTATCTCTGGAGCCACCTAAAAAATTGGTTTATGCAGTCTGCTGCATAAACCAATATATATATATATATATATATATATATATATTGTGAATCTGTTATTCGGAAAATTTATTCTAACTTTAAATTGATTTGTCTTTAAATCCTCTATCACTAAATAACATTATATTCTTATTGTCTAAATACAATTTATTGTCAATCCTGTTAAAACATATATGTTGATGGTATAGTTTGGTTCTCCTAGCAAGAACCTAAGCTCATTAAAATACAACTAAAGGCTTTATATTAAATAAACTACCATTCCGGCCCATCTTTCCTTAGAGAGATACCTCACGCCCTCTCCTTGTCACCAACAGAGGCTCCTTATCTTAAACAAGTCGCCCCATTGAGTAGGCGCGTACTCTTTCTCCAACTCCTATCTAAACTAAATTCAAAACCCCTGATTCTGAGACAGTCAGTCTAGGACTGAAGAAGACTGGCATGAGACTTGTTTGAAATAGACTATACCCACATAAGGTAATCTTGGATGTTTTTTTCTATATAATATATATGCTGTTATATTAATTACATTGACCTCTCTCAGAGGATCAGTTTTAATATCTGATATTACTAGGATCCACCTGGATTATATAACAACGGATCTATTAACAGTACTATATATATATATATATATATATATATATATATATATATATATATATATGTATATATATGTGTATGTGTGTGTGTGTGTGCGTGTGCGTGTGTGTGTAATTATAATTAATGAGATCCAAACAATTTACCTCATACATATAATCATTTACTAAAATGGATGTTAGTAAATGTATTTTGCATTGATAAATCCAGGAAAAAAATACTTTCCCATGGAAGCAACGATTATCTGCATGAGGTAATTTTTTTGGGATCTCATTAATTGTAATTCACTTATATATATATATATATATGTGTGTGTGTGTGTGTGTGTGTGTGTGTGTGTGTGTGTGTGTGTGTGTGTGTGTGTGTGTGTGTGTGTAATTAATTCTCTTTTAGGCATGTCTATATGAATAAATTACAGAAATGAAAACAACAAATTCATATTACCGATACTAGAAGCAACTTAAAAATTAAAGCAGGCACTGAACAGAATCAACTATGAATACTGCAGTAGTCTTCTGAAATGCCTGTAAAGGAACAGTTTTTCCATGCTTTAATGCGCGCATGACGATGACATTATAACATAGAGGAAAGAATTCCATAACGGCTAATTTTTTCACGTTCTAATGAACGCTCAACACTTTGTCAACCGTTTTGCATTTAAAAGCAAAATGGAAAAATTACGGTAATGGATAACGCATAACTTTGTATAAATACTTGTACCAATGAACAACATATAGTTTTGTATTACTTGCACCCGTGAAGATGATCTTGGAAGAAGGTCGAAAGTACTAATAAAAGGAATTTAAACAACTATAGCACATTTCTCTCATTTAACAACAGTACACGGAAGGTTATTCGTGAGTATGAACGGTTGTTATTAAAAATTAGCAACATAATGTCTGTAATTTATTCAGTCATATATATATATATATATATATATATATATATATATATATATATATATATATTTCATTCATACGAAAAGTAGATTAGTTTTTGTTATATCATTAACTTTACTAATCTACTTTTTGTATGAATTATTCATTGTAATAAAAATTGAACTGCAACACATATTTGATATATATATATATATATATATATATATATATATATATATATATATTACAATGTTGTATTATATTTTCAGTTGAGGGATTTTTGTCCCTTCTCTTATTAAATGAGCTAACTGCATATAGCAAAACATCACAAAAAACATATTGTTTACATTATGTTGCACAGTTATACGTAGATTTTGCCATCTTTCGCAGATTACGAGTCTCTAATCTAGTGATAGATTTTTACCTGGAACACGGGCTCATTTTCCGGGCCCAATTATAATGCAAAGATTTCGGTTATTAACTTTCTAGGAAGATAGGCCTTCTTTAGTCGATTGGCGTAACACGATCTTCTTCACCCCACATTTAATCTTGTGCCGGACTAAATTAAACTCAGTATATATCAAGACGATGTGTGCTTCGAAGAAGATGAAGAATCCCGTAAGAACAATGGAGGCAAATGAAGGCGACACAACCGACACGGAGTGGTTTTTATCTGCTGATATTTCTTCACACTTCAGGCGTAACAGTGTTTATCAATCAAGACATATTCGCGTCGACCTGCCTTCTGCAACCGAGCCTCTTCAATCGCGCCATTCATGCCAAAATATTGAGGTGTGTACCGTGCGGTCAGTTCGAGGATGAGACGTCGCTTCCAGTTACGCCATGTTGATCGATTGATGCGACGCCTAACGGAGACAACTCACACTATTAAAACAATGACAAGCCCAGATTTGCAAACCGGCCAACCGCGGGCAACTAATTAATAAATGCTTCTGAATCATATATTAGGTATTTTTGCGTTAAAATGGCCGTACGAATCAGGTTGTTGTTTTGGTTGTAATGTGCAAGATTTGAAACCTGTGAAAAACTTACCTCTTGCCAACTGTGAATCTGATATCAGTCTCTCTCAGCATCTCTCTCTCCCTCTCTCTCTCTCTCTCTCTCTCTATCTATCTATCTCAGTCTGCTCATATCTATCAGTCTATTTATTTCAGTCTTTTCCTGTGTATCTATTTCAGTCTGTTCATATGTATCTATATATCTATCTATCTATCTTTGTTTCTCAATTGAAATCTATATATTTATCTCAGTCTGTTCATATCCATCTTTCTATCTATTCTATCTATCTATCTCATTCTTTTAATCTATCTATCTTATCTTTTCTATTCTGTTCCCTCATCTATCTTAAGTATCTAAATTATCTATTCATATTTATCTATTCATCATTTATTTTCAATCTATTTCAGTCTTTATCTATCTATCAAAACCGATTTTTTCATATTTATCTATATATATTATATTTTATATATATATATATATATATTTATTATAAATATTAATATATGTTTAAAATCTCTTTTCTATTTTTCTACATATTTGCAAACACACATACACATATATATATATATATTTAGAAACCAAATGTTTTTAAGCAAATAATTTTTAAAACGATTCATTTCTGTTTACATTTATAACAGGATTCGAACGGTTAAGGCACGTCAGCGTAATCAACGGTTCCGTATTTAATGCAGGTTCGAATTTCTGTCAAAATACGAATATTTTCTATTTTTTTCTCACATTCAGGCCGGCAAATGTTATTTAATACTGTTTTTCATAAACAGAATATTTGCTTAAATACTTGTATCTATAAATAACAACGTTAAAAATAAAAATGTCTTTAATAATCAATATATATAATTATTTATTTAAAAATTTATAACATAAATTTATAAAATCACTACAAAATAAATTTTGTTTCAAATTAAAATGTCTCTTCACATTGATGTTGAATGTAAAATAAATGGTTTTAAAAGTTTCAAAATAATTAACAATCCTTCGCAAAAAGAAAAATTTAATGTTACAAAAGTTATTTGATAATCAAAATAAAGTATATATAAATTCAAAAAGCTTGACAACGAAGTCATTATATAATAGCTATTCAGATTTAGAAAAAAATTGGGGTAATATTAAAAAGAATTTATTCTAACCAATAATTAATAAATTATATGATAAAATTTAATATTAAAATTTAAAATTTAATAAATTTAATCTTTGTCTATTAAAATTACAAACATAAAATTACTTTTATATAAAAAAAAAATATATATATGTTATTTATATTTATTTCTTCATTTTTTTTTACGTTAGACGCTAATGTTATATCCGGTCCTCTGATCAATATTTATGCATGAAATTTTGATTCCAAGTGTGTTATTAAATGTGGTCTAAACCTCACGCAAAAAAAACACAAACACAATCAAATTAAAATACATAAGCACTTAGATATATATATATATATATATATATATATATATATATATATATATACACAAAAGTGACGGAACAGGGAACATCTCCAAATTCTCCCTTCGTTGTCATATTTTTTGGTTCCTATACTTGTATTTTGATTGGTCAATCTAGCTCTTTTTGTAACGTTTTCCATTGCGAAGGATTGTTAATTAATTTGAAACTTTTAAAATTTTTTATATATATATATATATATATATATATATATATATTAAAAATAAAAACCAATTTAAATTCCAGGATACGCGTCTATTAGGGCGGCTAGCCAATCCCTATTAAAGACGCCCGCAGAGCCAACCTTAAATATATGTTTATATGCAAATATATATTTGAACAGACCTTATTAATTACAGTTTCTTCTATAGAGCGTGTTAAATATTATTTCATCAACAATCTGAACAAAGCCAACTCATTCAAACCCTCTGTCATATTTATAAACTTGTAATAACGTCGTACTAAAGATATGGTATATCGACGGCCCCAAATTTTTATTCAACATTCCAATTTCCTTCACCTAAATATTTCGGTCAAACCTTGAAAAATTCCTATCGTTTTCAGGCAATTTTACGTGTCGCACCCTTCGATCGTCCTCCTCCAAATTCCATAACGTCAATATTATACTTCTATATAAATCATTTTATAATATTGATTCAAACCCGGGTCTCATGGCTATTGTTTCAAGTGGGCGGACCAAATATTCCGCCTATGTACGAGAAACAATAAATATATTCCAACCTGGATAAGACGTGGTGAGTCAAGTAGTTCAACACAAACGGCACAGTCGGCGTTGAATTATACAATTGGCCAACACTTGACTGAAAATCTTGCTTGTCGCGGCCAATAAAGAGACGACTAGTTTCATAGTGTACATAAAGTATAATCTCAGCATTTACTAAAATTACATTTTTTATAATGTCGAGAAATTTTTTATTTGTCGACAAAAAAAAGAGAAATAATTATCTTCTTCATTTTCCAATAACATTATTTTTTTTTTCCTCAAGACTACTTTCTGTTGCCTTTGTCAGGTTTCTTAATCGATTTTATTCGTTTTTAACTTTACAAAATGAATTGGTTTATATATTTTGATTGTTACGATTTTACATTTTATATTTTAATCGTGCGCCAGATGTATTCTACCATTTAATCCAATTAAACTCTTTTCGTTTTTCTGGTTATAAATAAAAAAAATCTAACTTTAGCCAACAATTTTTCTCTGACGAAGGTTTGGCCGAAGATTTCCTTAGAAATTTACCCCCCCACCTCTTCCTTAGTATTAAGATGTTGACATCTTTCCTATTTAAGGCAATTTAATAATTGCCTTATATATATATATATATATATATATATATATATATATATATATATATATATATATATATAAAAATCGCAGGTTTATGTGTGTGTGTGTGTGTGTGTGTGTGTGTGTGTGTCTGTAACGTTTATATGTTGGATCGAATTTCCTACATTTTTTAGCCGATTTCAACAAAACTTCACAGGACTACATAAAATTACCTTGTGGTGGTTCTAACGGGGCCGAAAATGGGAAAAAACACAGTTGTTTTTTTAATAAAATCAATTTGAAAACACGATTAAGACACATCGTGAGAATGAAAGGGGGACAACTCACCCACGAAAATGTAAACAAAAGAGCATAGCATGATGAAAAAAACGCCGAACTTGACGAAAACAAAATTTTATCGTCTAATGTTCATATTATTATTAAAGAGGAAAGATCAAAGTATTTTTGGGGTATTTTTTTACATTTTTTAATCGTTCCTAGCACGTCTGAAATTTTCGTTAAAAATATTGTTTTTTTTTGGTCAAAAAAAAGGACAGATAATCATTTTCAATCATTTTTTTCGATTTGATAAAAAAGATTAAAATCTTACTTTGATATTCTTTTAAAAATCAATTATCATTTTTTTCAAAACTGATTTTAATAAAAACAGAAATTATACTGTTTATTTAAAATATTTTGAACCAAGCTTAACTTAGCTTCTGCGCCGAAAAAATGTAATTTGAAAATAAAACAAAGCAGGTCATAACCTTTCGCGTCGCTTGACGATTGACGAAAGGCACATTCATGACGTTTAGATAACTTACGGGAGGAGAATTCTTTCTACGGATGGAAGGAAGTGAAATTATTTAAGTGAACAAATTATTTACCTTGTTACTTTTAAGGAAAACTTTCAGCGCTCTAATTTTTTTTTTTTTTTTTTTTTTTTTTTTACTTAGCTTTCATTTTTACGTTTACGATGCTTTATGGAAAATATAAAAAAGAAATTAAAAATAAGACTGTTAATAGTGAGATTAAATTTCATAAGAAAAAGGTATCTAATTAATTTAGGTACCTTTCTTATGAAATTTTATCAGAAGTGTACATAAAATACTATAATTTTATGTACATTTATTACATTTTACTGTGTTATTTGTATTTCCATTCATTTTATTATTAATTTTGATATTTCATTTATGGAAAAATGTCATAACTGAGATTAATATAAAAATAAGATCATATAAATTAAAGTTTAGCAGTAGTTAAATTTCATAAGATGATACTGTTACTTGTAGGTACCCTTCTCAGTTGAAATTGAAAACTCAAATTAACTTCTCCATACGTGTTTCGCAAAAGTAAAGGGCTTAACAGCGGAGAACAATGCTGAACTCAAATAATGCAACTAAATTGTATTCTGGTTGGTCTTCCGTACTTGATAATTACTGTCCGACTATAAACACAAAAATTACATTTCTTAATTACCATGGCTAATCTGATTGGTCCAAATTATACAATTTTCAAAGCGCTAGACAATGACAATCTCACACGGACATTTTGAAAGGTTGATGTTGCTTTTAACTAATGTTAAAATATTTTTTAAAATTCAATTTAAACATTTTTTAAAAATCTTTTTAAAATTAAAGAAATAAGAAATAATTGTATTAAAAATTCAATTTTCATTGAAAAAATTTTTTGCTTTCAGAAAATATTGTCCATATTCATAAAAACAAATTAAAACAAATAAAAGCATTTGAAACTAAATAATATATTTTTTTTATTGTTTTTTTTATGTTACAATTCACAGCTGATTTTCAGGTACGTTGGCCAAAAAAAAAAAAAAAAAAAAAAAACATGATTTGCATTCTTCAAAGCCTTGTGCTTTTAACTATTGTAATCACTAAAACCGATGGTCTCGAATTTCTAGAGTTTTTCATAAAATTAGTTATGGGGGTGTTAATAAATATAAAAAAAATATTTCTGCCATGACTTTAATAAAAAAAAAATATTTATAATAATTTCGATCATCTGTGAATAGTTTCTGAAAGTTTCATTAACATCTGACAATTATTTTTATTTTTGCAAGATTTTCCAAATTAATGTGTGTAAATACAAAAAAAAAAAAAAAAAAACGCGCTAAAAATTATCTATGTTATTTACTACCCCTTGTTGCGACAAAGAGAAACAAGGTTTTTTAAATCAAAATTTAGAATATTCTAAAAAGATGGAAAAATTTTTTTAAAATAATTAAAAAAAATTTAGTCTATCCTCTTCATAAAAAAATAAGCATTTTGACGATAAAATTTTGTTTTCATAAACTTTGGCGTCTTTTTTCATCAGACTATGCTCTATGTTTTAGCGATTCCGTGGAGTGACTTAGGTTAAAAACCCAGGTTGTTTGTGTGTGTGTGTGTGTGTGTGTGTGTGTGTGTGTGTGTGTGTGTTCCTTTATATATGGGATCGGATTTCTTACATTTTTCAGCCGATAAAACAAACATCCACTTTTTTTTTTTTTTTCGGTAGTATTTCTTATTGTCTTGCACACTTTTTTTTTTATTTACATTCAGAATGCTTTAAAAATTCCATTTACAAGACAATTGTTTATAATA